AGAGGGGGGGTGGAACAGTAGAGTGTTTCAAAGATGTAAAAGAGACAGACGCAAAGGTAGAAAAAAGGTGAGGTGAGTACTATGGAAGTAGTCGAATATGACATATAGTGAGGTGAAGGTAGCTTGAAATGAGAAGTCAACTGCCAGTTAATAGACTTTTTTTACCGTATGAGTATACGTTGCTCAGGGTGCACCACGTGGAGGTAAGTCTATCGCGAACTTCTTATCTGCAATACACGTACTGAATAAACGTGCTCCGTGCTACACGTCTGTTTCCTTTATAGCTGGGCTATAGCTAAGCTGGTTCTGGGAGTCTAGCTAGGTGTAGGAGAATCTGCCATAGAGATTTCTGAGTTCAAATTTTATTGACTCAGTAGTAAGCTGTAAAGATTTAGCCCCCTGAGTTTCTGAGTGACTGCCATAAACAGGGATTACTGAGATCTTAAGTTAGTTTGAGCGGCTAATCGTGTCTTCCTAACGCATTTCTGCATTTAGTAACCTAGATACTAGCTGAATGATATTAGCTTGGACGCACAGATTTTCGGAAAGATAACGCTTTGAAATCATAATCTATTTTCAAGTTCTACTGGTTACTACTCAAATCATCGAGTAAATGATTTAAACTTTCTGAAATTCATGATTATTGATTTTAAATAAAAAGATGAAATACATATTGATTGAGGTGATTCATTAATAAAACAAGGAAATAATTGGAGAATTTTAAATGACCTCATCCTCCATTTCTCTTTGTTTCAAATCATCCTTTTTGAATGTCATCTGCAATCAATGAAGAAAGTGGGTTAAAATTTAAATAAAAAAAAAAGAAAATTAAGAAGCCGAATTGGAGTTTCACAGTCCGAAATGAAAAGATAAGATGAGAAATGTTAAGTGCAATTGACGTGACTAAGTTGTGCAATTTTTAAGCTATGAATCAGCATGTCCGGCTACCATAATGCATACAAGTTTTACAAATAAAGATTCAAATATAAACAGATGAGTGGAATGCTGACCTAATGGACCTACGCGGGGAGCTCTCGAATTCAGTCTTTAAAAGGCATGAATCTAAAAATTTGACCAAATATGGTCATTGCTAAGGTGTAAGCTTACGGTAGCTGCGACCATAGCCGGTAGCTCAGACCTTTAAATACCAATATTTTGGTGAAATACTTACCTCTAATGTACATCCAGGGAAGAGGAGGGGAGGGGGTCAGCACATTTCTTCATGTTTAGGTCGACTTAAGTGACTAACTCATAGGGAGAGCGGTCATAAGTTTTCAGGTCTGCCTAGGGATCGAATTGCGAAATTTTGGCTTTGTAGGCATCGTTGCTTTACAAATCCGATAACCCCTTTTATGTAAAGGACAAAAACTCGCTACTTACAAAATTCGAATAAAACTTGGTTCTTGACGTCTTGATTTCATTATATGTTTCTGTTCTACCCACTTCCTGCTTTTGCACTAGAATGTGTTGGGTTAACAGTATCCAAAGTCACCAATTTGTTGAGATACCAAATTGTAGGAACTAATGGAAGTAGTCGAATATGACATATAGTGAGGTGATGGTAGTTTGAAGTCAGAAGTCAACTGCCGGTTTATAGACATTTTTGTCGTATGAGTATAAGTTGCCCAGGGTGCATCACGTGGAGGTAAGTCTGTCGCACACCTCTGGCACTTGAAATCGTTACAGATCATTATGACTGGGATACAGTGATCTTTCTAACAGTGTAGGGCTTTTATTGTTTTTTGTATACGGTGAGTTCATTTGGAAGCATCACACTGGTAGGGCTTGCTATAAGAGTGAGCATCGCATTCTTGTGAAAAGTGCTTTAGGCGGTTATAGAAAGTACGCGTTGCTGTCTTTCCTTTGTCTTTTTCATGACCTCACATATGATTTAGCATAGGTTCTAATTGAAACCTGATACTTAATGGACTGTTTGCTTATTCTTCGCGATTGAAATTTCAGGCAAAGTCGCCCATTTTGAAATTTAGACTTATGAAAAAAATCTACTGAGTGAACTCTTCTCGTGAGAAGTCTCTACAAGTCTTCTCGTTGTAATTAGGGCAACAGATATCTGTCAAATGCTATGACTAATGTCATCGCTCTTCCCAAAAAAACAAAAAAACCTTTATAGAGGATTTAGCTCAAATATTTAATGAGTCATTTTTTCATTCCTTGCAATTAATTAATTAAATTGAAAAATATGAAGGAATTATTTGTTGAAATGTAGACACAACTCACTGGGCATTATTCCATTGGAAATACTATTCGATTCCGAACCCGTTTGAGATTCAGTCGAAGTCTGACTGGATAGAGATTTCCGCTTGGTCCGTTCAGGATGGAGCTTGAGAAAGAAAAATTGATATAACCAAAAAGTTCAATCGTAGTGAAATGAATTAACTATCGCAATGCAGAAAACATACATTCACGGTGGTATTCTGAGTCCCCATTGATGGTAGAACTCCATTAAGATCAATTTTCTTAATAATTTGAGGTTCCTTCCTCAAAGCCTTTTCTTCATTTACATGGTCTTTTTCAACCACTGTCGGCTTGGAAATAGAACTTCGTTTTTGGTTGAATTGGTCTAGTTTTGGGGAATTCTGCAGTTAAAAGAGCCATTTAACAAAATGAAAGTGGTATAAATTAGACTTAATGGAATCATGACGAAATTTACATTAGAAGAACTGGAACTTGAATGGACTTGTGGTTGAAGAATTCCATTGAGGTCAATCTTTTGTATGATCGGAGCAGGATTGTTTTCCGCTTTCTTTTGATCTTGCAGGCTTTTCTTTCGCACTTGATTATTATTCTGAAATGGAAAACCATTTTGCATCCAATAGTTCCAAAATGCCGAACCCTAATCATCAAGAAACAGACTTACATTAGTAGATCCATTAGATCCATTCGAGGCCTTGTCCTTGGTTTTCTTCTGAGATATAATACCGTTCAAATTGATTTTCTGGATCACTTCGGGTTTGCCAGTTAGTTGACGTATGACAGGCTGTATAAAAGTTCAAAATGACACACTTTGACACGAGTGAATCACCCCAGGTCATAAATTTGAATACAAATTCCCCTTTTGCTTTAAAGAGAGGCCACGATGAGGACAAATGGCGGAACGTCATTGCCAGACATGATGAGTGAAATTTGTGACCGAAAAATTTTAGAAATTTGGCACCACACATTAAAGGAACGAGTTAAACTATAACTACTCAAAGAATCGTTCAAAATCAAGTGACCTGAAAAGAATTGAAGCAAAATTAGGAATATCGCAACTTCCAACTTTGGTTGATGTGGTCCAAGTAATTGACCATTTATCAGGGATAAATAAACATGGTTGTTTGGTGTATCAATACTTAGCTTACGTAAGTGGTGCAAAAATGAATCGGGTTAAGCTTAACTTTACTGCTAATTTGAACAATTAATCCTAAATAAATATACTTTTAACGGCATGAGAAAAAGAGAAATACCAGTAGCATTCAAACCCATCATGAAGTACACCATTGAATACTTGCAAGTAGGTGAAATAACAATCATTTTATCTGGTTACTATTATCAGTCGGTATTTATTGTCTTTTTGAATACCTCTACGTGGTGCACCCTGGGCACACGACAAAAAATGTCTATTAATTGGCAGTTGACTTCTCACTTCAAACTACCATCACCTCACTATATGTCATATTCTACTACTTCCATAGTACTCACCTCACCTTTTTTCTACCTTTGTGTCTGTCTCTTTTACATCTTTGAAACACTCTTCTCTTCCCCACCCCCTATCGACTTTTTTCACTTTGATGTTCCTTCCCTCCTTTGAAGCCTGAAATCAGCTAAAGGGCTAATGATAAAGATAAAAAACGCAAGCCATTTGAAATAAATAAATGTTTCCAGATTATTCTTCATTCAGACCTTTACCGATTCATCACTCACTAAAACATTTTGATATGTCTTGTGCTCAGATGCTATTTAACCCATCATTGAGCTGGTCGATTAACGTAAAGTCGACTCAAAAGTGCCCTTTTCTGGTGTTAGACTAAACGTCCTTTAAATTTTAAATATGTGGAAGATTCCCTTTATTGTGTTGACAAAACAAGATTTAAAGTTCCACAAAGATACCATTATAAGTTCCCATATGAACAATCAGCTTTATGAACAAAGTTCTAAATCCATTAATATCTGCCTTCAAAGCTGGCGAATTTAAATTAGATTAAAATGTCTGCCAATTTTTCTCCGATCTGCATAACTTTAATTAATTGCGAAGAAAAGACAAAAGTCGTTTCCCAAGAGTTTTGAATTAGATTGTTTCAATGACACCGTTCAAGTGATTCATCTCAATATATGGACCGAAAATGAAAAGTGGTCTCCCTCGGTATAACACGAAATTAACATTAGTTCAATCTATTGTATGCGTTGTTTATAAACAATGGATCATGAAGTAAAAATTTAGATCGCAAATTATAGGCTGACACAAATTTATTATAATAATATCAACAAATGTAATATAAATGTCAAATTCTTCGTTAGGATGCATAGTGAGGACATTTCAAATGTGGCAGTCAAACAAAAGAAGCTAAAAAGGTTAAATGATTAATTAAAAGTGAGCTAAAATATTTCTCGCCTTCAACAACTTAACGATTTTGGCTGGAATATATCAGCATGGATGATGAACACAAACAGCTGGTCAAAATAATTCTCCAGGAAAATTTTAACAGATGATGTCCAACTGCACTCCATAAAAATTTTACCTCACTCCCTTCACATTTAAATAATATGGAAGTGCGAATCCCTATATTTTACATTGTTTTAAGAGCTAAAACATCGTATTAGAAAAAGAAACAGGCGCTTTGGATTTGAAAGTTCCGTTTCGCTTTGGTTACACTAGTTACACTATCGATTATTTGCGTGTGAGTCAACTAGATTACAATTTTCTAAGTTGAAAATGATTTAGAAGTACGATCAGTGCATCCATATATATATATATATATAGGGGTGTGCGATAGACTTACCTCCACGTGGTGCACCCTGGGCAACGTAAACTCACACGGCAAAAAAGTCTATTAACTGGCAGTTGACTTCCGACTTCAGACTACCATCACCCCACTGTATGTCATAATCGACTACTTTCACAGTACTCACCTCACCTTTTTTTCTACCTTTGTGTTTGTCTCTTACATCTTTGAAACACTCTTCTGTTCCCCCCCCCCTCTCGACTTTTTTCAATTTGATGTTCCTTCCCCTCTGTGAAGCCTGAAGTCAACTAAAGGGCTAATGCTTACTATCAAAACGCCTGCCACTTGAAATAAATAAATATTGTACACTACTGTAAAACACTATTTAAAGTCTCCTTTTAAAAATGATTTTTTCTCTCTCATAATGAAAATATTTATTGCACTTTATCTCTTCTCTGCAAATGTTAACCTCACACTATGGCGGGTAATTCCGATAATAGTTTTTTATCAAACAGCAATCTAACAGTAATTTAATAAATGAATAATAAAAATGGATTTTTTGAAAATTCAACTGAAATATTATGACATAGTTGGTGGCAGAATTCGAGTTCTTCATCAGGAATGATGCTGCTTTTCCTCCAAGATGCCCATTTGGCAAATATTGAACAATCTGAATCTACAAATCATGAGAGGTGAAACCCCTTAGATACCGTGGATTTGCTCTCATTTCCCTTCGTACTTTTAACTTGCTTGTCTCTTCTCTTCCCCCCCCCCTTGACTTTTTTCAATTTGATGTTCCTCCTCCTCTCTGTGAAGCCTGAAGTCAGCTAAAGGTCTAATGATAGCTGTCAAACCGCCTGTCATTTGGAATAAATAAATTGTGATTAATAAATTAAAAGGGAACCCGACATTTGATAAATTAGTTAATGAAAGAAAAATTTACCTCCAATTTTTTTCCAAATATATGCCACTTTTACATATTTTTTGAACAAACCACTAACGACTGTCAATAATAGGATTTAAAAGTTATGCACAAAATTATTATCTGAAGTCCAAAAATTGCCACTTACCGAAACCCATGGATGTCGAAGACAGTCTGAAGCCGTGTCTCGCTTTCTAGAAGTGCAAAGAATACTTAATTGGCAGCAATTGATTAATTACAATTACATATAAACGCAATAATGCTTCGATTACATTCTTGAATAGATTGAGCAAACAATAAAATTGTTTCACTTTTGAATATAAGTATAATTAAATGCCAAAATAATCGTTTGTTTACCGAGGATTCTTTCGTAAGAGCCGAGTTATAAAATCTTGAGCCTCGAGGGAAACATTGGCGAACTCTTCCCGATCAAATGTGACCGAACATTCAAGAATGTTTTGGAAGGTTTCCACTTGTGAATCCCCCGCAAAAGGCGAGATACCACTGAGTCTAAAATGGTTTGGAAAAAAAATTTATTATTATTATTATTTATTTAGGAATATGAACGCAACGTATGCTAACATTTAATCATGAATTCATTTTCCGGATTATATTCTTTATGAAGTTTAATATTTGAAGGTGGGGTGTGCGATAGACTTACCTCCACGTGGTGCACCCTGGGCAACGTATAATCATATGGCAAATAAGTCTATTAACTGGTAGTTGACTTCTTGACTTCAAACTACTTCAAACCCCACTCTATGTCATATTCGACCACTTCCACAGTACTCATCTAGCCTTTTCTCTGCCTTTGTGTCTGCCTGTCTGTCTGTTACATCTGTGAATCGCTCTTCTTTTCCCCTGTCGAATTTTCTCACTTTAATGTTTCTCCCTTCTGTGAGGCCCGAAGTCAACTAAAGGGCTAATAATAACTATCAAAATGCCTGCCATTTGAAATAAATATATTTGTAGGTAATCATAAAGGTTCCCCATTAACAGCACAAGTATTAACTTGCACCAAAACAAAATTAACCAGGGTTCTATAAAAACACTTTGAAAACATAATGTTTGAACCCGATTTTGAGGTAAACGCCCCAAAAATCTCAAAAAATCCTTTATTAATAATTAGAAATTATGAATATTTATTATTATCATTATTATGAATAGTAATATTTCATTTCAAGCAGCGAGACAAATGAAAATGTTGAGAATATGTATTTGTCTAAATACCATACTTGAGACTTCAGTAAGTAAAAATGGAAAACAAAATTCCTAAAATTAAATGAAATATGTTTTTCAGTCTTGATTTTTATTGGCAACCTATGTTTGCCCGTTGACGAGTTCAGAGAATTTCTCTACTTTAATATTCCTGATTCCATCTTGTTGTGGGTAATAAATACAGAGTAAATTGAATAAACAAACGTATAAACTTTTTTTTTCTGTATGAGTTTTCATGCAGTTGGAGTGACCTACTGACCTTATCTCCCGCTTTCGGATCTTGATTGCATTTTAACGTTACCTTCACTTTTTACTTTAGCAGAGCGATCCTCCATAAAGCTACAGACAAATAGAGGTGTCTCTATTATTATTATTATGCTATTTGTTTCAGTGTGGAAAAGGTAATTGTAAGGTTTGCGATAATGAGAGATTGACGTAAATCGAAATCCATGGTAACTCAATGCTTTTAAGCTCCTTTCTGTCCTTCTAAGAAGAAATTATGCAAACTATGACTAAGTTAAATAACTTGCTTAGTGATTACGTGACTCTGAAATGTGACGCATAGGAAAAATAGTCCATTTTGGCGAAAAATTACTAAGAAGACACATCAACTTTCTGCGAGCGATCTTATCTATCTTCGGCCGCAAAAACGTAAATGTGAAACGAATTTCCCGTTCAAAAAAAATTATAAGGATCAACTTCTTCAGTTCAAGCATTAAATATAATTAATGCTAAGCCTATTATTTGAAATGAAAGCAACATTTAAAAATAATGGAAACCCCTTTCCACAGACAGTAGGCAAATTGGGATTTCGTCGATCAAAAGTAAGGCTTGAAGGAAATCTCTTTGATCTAACTAGGATGATCACATAATGATGTTAGGCTCAAATTGTGAACCCCTGAAGTTTAATTTAAAATAAATTGCATGCAAAGTTGTTGTTTAAAGGCGAATGTTTACGATCCAATTATTTAATAGGTCACGATTTACGAAAACATAGCTACCACAAGTAAAGTTCAATGCAAAACTTCTGAATATTTAACCTCGCAATTTCTTACATTAAGCCCCTTATTTGTAAAGCTTTTAGAAGGGACAAATTCTAGTTTAATGATTGAAGGCGAATCCACCAAGCAAATTCTGGAAATGGCTATAAATATCAACATACCTGCTTCAATTAGAGTGGAATTGTGGAAAAAATGATCAAATCTAAGATCGTAAGGTCATTAACACGTTTGTTAAAAATACTTCCATTAATGTTTGCCTGTGTTAATTGGTTTTTGTTCATCATCGGCAGTTAGAGCAAAAAAGTTTTATTACAATTATGGAATAGATCCTTTCCCGAAAATGAAGCATTTTGCACTTCAACGAGAGTCTTATGTTCAGACATTTAACCGAAAAAAATCTACCAAAATGGGCTCTAAATGTTAATTACTGTCAGCATACAGAAACACAAATGAAATCGCTCATAAAGCATAAAGCAATGGAGAGCTTTTGGTACAGTTCTTTATGATCTTCACAATAAAAGGTTACCATTGGTTTTACCCACAGTTTTAAGGTCATCAGTATTATCACTTTAACGCATAAGGCTACCATTCGTGGGTTTACACCAGCGAAAAGCAATAAAATCACGAACAACGAGGAATAGAATTAGGCAACCATGTTTTCAGGAGTTGGACACCACGATGGAATAGTACTTACCTGCCAAGAAATGTCTTTAGATGTCTAATTTTTCAACGCACAACCACATTGAAATTAAGTTGCTTAAATGAAAATCCGATAATTTTCCTTTCAAGTTCATAATTTGGCCATTTTGATATAAAATATTGTTTGTTTTCAAAGTTGTTGGATCTGGTTGTCATAAAATTCCACACATAGTGGCATTTATTCCCACTGTGTCAATAACGCTACCAGCCAACACCCCCTCCCCCCTTCACCCATTACTAGAACCATCGCATACACAGGAGACAGGGTCAAGGGTAACCTATAAGGAACAATGCCATTTTTCACGTAGTATGCCCGCAAATTTGCCAATGAGAGGGCATTTTATACAATTCCTGGAAGGTGCCTAGATTTTCAGACGAATTAAAACAAATTCAATCCATGGAAAAGTGCTGAAACGTGAAAACTAATTAAATAACGAAGAAATTTGTAGAAGGCAATTTAAACAATAATAATGTTAACTCTGAGTGAATTTTCCTCGCAGTCAATAATTACAGAAGATTATGAATGAGATATTTGGATCAGACTCTTTTAACTGATGACATTTTCATTAAAATCTAAAGCACTAATTTTCAAGAGATCAATTGCCTGATATTCAAGTTTGCCTCTGGTGAAATTGAATTAATGAAAGTGATATGACGATACCTTTTATTAAATCGATTGATCAACAATCTATCTGTTTTTCACTAAAAAAACTATAAATCTAATCATGGACGCTGAAATTTGTAGCATTTTTATTCTAGCAAGTTAATGGCGATTATTAAAAATTCATGACCTCTGTTCTGATCACTTCCTCCATTTTGTTTAAAATTTTTGTTAATTCTACTCATTAAAAAATTATGATCGATGTTAGTTTGAAATTTACCGATTGTAGGCTCTTCTGCAAAATGCACTTTATGTTAACGAAAAAACAATCTACTCTCTGTTCTATCGATCTACCTCAATTTGTCTACAAAGACTCACCTTTTCATTCTCACCTATCAGCCAATATCCAACTCGATTCTCAACCATCTGATCTGGAAAAGAATTTTGATTCCTGAAGCATATAAGATCATATAATTCTAATAGGGAATACCTCTAGCCTAATTCATTCGGGTAATTATTTTAGCCCAGCATCATTCACAGAGGAATGTAACTTCTGATATTAAAAGCATTTGAATTACTATGTCTTAAATAAAGAAACAGTCGTTGTGATGTTTAAGTAATCCAAGGTGATTTATAGAACTCGTTCTCAGGGGAGGGCTAATTGATTTAACTTTGAGTTAAGTGATCGCCAATGAAGTAAATAACATTCATGCATGAGAAAGCGTTTGCTACGTTATTACTTCGATCCATAGGCAAAAGAATACAAACATTGTGTAATCACAAGATTGTAATAAAGAAAATTTGAACGACTTACAGGATATAGGTCATCACACCGATTGCCCACATGTCCGTCGCGAATGTGATCGGGTCGAAATTCACGATCTCTGGAGCTAAGACAGAAACGATACGCTTTAGTATGAATATGTTGGATTACTAATATATGTATACAGCAAGAGGGCACATAGACACAATAGAGCCGAATAGCTTTGGGATAATTAATTTGTCACATCTCTATAAACACATACATCCGCTCTTTAAAATGAGCTTTGAAGGAATTTAATGTTCACAATGACAATGACATTCTGCGTTCTTGTTCTACGCTAAATATATAATAGGCCACTGGAATCTCTGGATCAAAGAATAATTATTTTAGTTTGAAAGACGTAGATTGAAAAGGATACCCCATTGTTCGGTAAACTCAATGCAAAATTTAGTGATGATCATCCCAATCTTTGAGTGCGTCTCACTGTTAATAGGTATATTAATATAAATTCGGCAGAATTAAGCTTCTATAACATTTTTGGATAAGACATATCTGCTAGTACATCTCCAAGTCACCCTTCGTATCTACCAATATGTTTCAAAACGCTACCCCTGGCAGTAATTTAGCGCCTGAAAAAGCTATTCTGATCCCCAAATTTATTATGTGAAGTTTATACTAAGTTAATGCAGCTTCCTTTGCGTCTCGTCCCTTCGATTCTGAGTGAGCTGTTGCCTGGAAGCATTCAGTGGACGAATAGATCAAAGTAACTGCGTATAAGATATTCCTCGCTATTCAATAGCATATTGTATTAATTTGTCATTAAAAAAGTTTGGCTTAATCATAGTTCAATTCTATTTTTAAATCCATTCGGTCAGACTATTTTAAGGAAGAGTGTAAAACGTAATGAGGGGACATTGCGCTAATATTCTGGAGCAAAACAAGGTTCTTATTATGAGATATTTGTTGATTTGAACTGACATTCCCAAACATCCAACGAAACTCGCTACAGACATTTTATAATCTATTTTTTATAAAATTATATATTTATATCGTAAAATGCCATTTTGTTGAATATAGCTCCAAATCATCTGCGATTTAGTGTACAAGACTATCTCTGATTCAAACAATTTCTCTTGCATGCTATAACAATGTTAACCCAAACAATATCCTTTTGAAAAGCATTTATATCAAATGACAGGCGTTTTGATAGTTATCATTAGCCCTTTAGTTGACTTCGGGCTTCACAGAGGGAAAGGAACATCAAAGTGAAAAAATTGGAGAGAGGAGGGGGGGAGGGGACAGGAGAGTGTTTCAAAGATGTAAAAGAGACGGACACAAAGGTAGAGAAAAGGTAAGATGAGTACTGTGAAGTGGTGTAATATGACATAGTGTCGGGTCATAAGAGTTAGAAGTCAGAAGTCAACTGCCAGTTAATTGACTTATTTGCCGTATGAATATACGTTGACCAGGGCGCACCACGTGGAGGTAGGTCTATCGCACACCCCCTTTTCAAAAATGTTGAAACTAACTTTGCTCAGCAAAGAGTGGTGCGGTGCACTTGGGCTAGTGGACAACCCCATATTAAGTAATTTAAACTATTGCATCTCAGAAGCCTTAATGAAAGTAACATATAAGTAACGTTCAGAATAAGTGTTTGCAAACAGCTTCTTAAATCTCTCAATACGGCTTTATGGAAAATATGGTTTTTTTTGTTTTCATGACATTTCTGACGGCACCGCAAAGATCAGAGGTGTGAAATTCTGGAATTTTCTATTAATATTTTCGAATTAAAACAACTGATTATCACATTACTTATAATTCCAATAATTTTGAATAATCTCAATATTTGTAAAAAGAATCAGATTGTGAATGATTTATCAACCTATGTGTCATAATTTAAAAAGACAAATAAAAAATAATATGCGAATTTAAGTTTTCGGGATTTAGAGAAAGCATTATTCTTGCAGTTTAATATTTTATCATTTTTCACCATTATTGGGCAGTAGTTTTAGCAGTCTCCTAACCAGATTAGTTTGAATTCTTTGTGATTTATCGGAAAAAAATATAAATGGCCAACTCTTTAGTATTTTATAAAAACGGCCATATGTTTTTGCTATTTATCTGTTTTTTTTTTAAGATTTCAGCTAAACTCGATCAGTTTTCTCAGGGTAGACAGAATTAGAAAGCAAAGAAATTCGAAGTATATTCTAAAATAAAACTAGTTATTTCCCAAGAGGTGCGAAAAATTAAGTCTGGTCCGAAACTAAGTAAGCATTGATCTTTCAAAATGTTTTCAACATACCCAATAAGCCATTCATGACTCCATGAAAGTAAAACTTAATCGACTGAGTCAAATGATCAACAAGATCTGGTTTTATTGATAGGAAATTAATTCCAGAATTCATGGTTCAAATCATGAAAATTTAGCTTTCATGCATTTAAATATTGGACTGTGGTCAAATCGACGTTTTCAGATTTCAACTAAACGAGACTATGGTAATTTGAACCGCATTTTACGTTCCTATTCCTTAATGTTTCCAAAAATTGCATATCGTGTCATGTAGATACTAAGATAAAAACTAATTTTATTTGCTCACAAGCCCTCAAATTAAAAGTTTCATTTCAATAAGTTTGATCTCACCAATAACTGGCACATTCATGATCAATTACACCAATATTCGAACCAGTATAAAAAAAACAATATAATCTCCGATATACTTAATTTAGTTCAACAATCCTTCAAGATGATTTTCAGCAAGTTTCCTCTTTTTCTGATCGAATGACAAAAGCAGATCAACTTTTGAAGTGTCATATGTCAAAATATGAAAGAATTTCAACTGGTAAAATGCGCAAGAATAGATGATAATGACGTTAACATTTTGCAATGGGTCAATTGGATTTTTAACGCTTAAATTATTAATTCATAAAGATCACATTTCGCTTCCACAAGACGATGAGAGGTGAACAGAAACAGACGGTTAGTTGTTAAGCGAGCAAATTGAAGAAATTAACGATTCTTTGAAGAAACAAAGTACAAGGAAACACCACTCACATCTAGATCTCACGAGAAATCTTTCTTTTAAAAGAAAGATTCGCGCATCTTTTCATTCTTACACATTGAATCTCAATACAACAAAGAAATGGGAGTATTTATTTATCGATGGCGTATTGCCCAGCGAGAAATTTCGTGTATCCACAAGTGGTGAGATTATGAACCAACAAGAATTGTGTTATAAGGTGACTGACTTCAGTACACTTTCCTAGAACAAAGTCAAGTACCGTAAATGCTTCCCTTAATGGTTTTGGAAAAGGTTTCACAGTTGCAAAAAAAACTTTCAATGGTTCTCAGCCTTTTAGTGTACTAAAAGTTTATGGTTTTTAGAATAAGAAGTTTTCTTCAAATCCCTATTTCAGAGCGATTTCTTCTTTTTTCATATTGTTTGAATCAGTGCAATTTTCAGCCGATAGGAAAAGCAAGATTTTACCATGTTAGCTAAGCTTCTAAAAGTTGCACTTTTATTAACAATATCAAGGGCACATTGAAAATAAATTTGCCTCAAATTTAGGATAGGTTTACTCAAACGTGATAATAATCAAATAATTGCGTATAATCGAAAGGATCAATGTAATAAAATCAATTACACATTATTCCGGTTCTAATAATGTTATTAATGTGGTTCAGAGCTAACGTTATTAATCACAATTTTGTAAATATATTTCCTAACTGAGCTACCAAATTTACACACCTGAATAAAAATCAATAGGAAAGTGTTTTATAAGAGATGGTAAATAATTTCAGGTCCATTTTGTCAAACAATATTGATTCGTGACGTTTTATCTTAGGCAAAATATTGACACTTTCCATAATTACGCCATTTTCGCCAATAATTGGAGTCACTGAGACTCTTAAAAAATCAGGTGGTGTAAATTGATATATGAGTTTAGGCAACCTCTTCTAAAAGGGGGAGAATACAATACCACCCTTCCTTTGAATATTTCGATGCATTGGGCACATGTACCAAAAAATAAACGCCTATGAGCTGAATAATTAACCAATCAAATTGCTAGTAATTACTTCAGTCTTTTTAAATAGTCCAATTTAATTTGACTAACTAAAGGAGGACTCCTTTCTTCTATTTTTATATTTTATAATAAGGGGCGTGCGATAGACTTACCTCCACGTGGTGCACATTGGGCAACGCATACTCATACGGCAAAAAAGTCTATAAACCGGCAATTGATTTCCCACTTCAAACTGCCATGACCTCACTGTATGTCATATTCCACTATTTCCACAGTACTCACCTCACCTTTTTCTATCTTTCCTAGCTTCGTCTTTGAAACACTCTTCTGTCCCCCGCCCTCTCAACTTTCTTTCACTTTAATGTTCCTTCCCCTTTGTGAAGCCTGAAGTCAACTAAAGG